TATATATATATATATAAATATAATGTACATCTCATATAGTTTTAATAAAAAACTAATTTTTTCAAATTGCTGGAAAAAACCAGAAAAATTCGGTTTCTTTCTGAAAAATTGTTTTTGCGAAAAATTGCTATATAAACGATATATTGCTTAATTTTTAATATTTTTTATCATATTAAATATGAATTGGGATTCGGAAAGTAATGTAAGTGATATATTTTAATTTGTTTGTTAAAATGTGTAAATTTTTTATTTAAATTATATATAAACTTATAACTTATAAATTATAACTCTCGTATTTTATTAAAATAAGATACCTCGTATAAACGCTAGAATTAATAAGTTAATTTTTATGTTTACATTTGAATACTATATTCCTTGAGGTGAGGATTATTAATTATTAAATAAACTGTTTTAGAAAACGCAATCCTAACTAATGTAAAGATTAATTTAAGCTGATATTTATATTAAGTATTTTTAAAGAGTTTTGATTATTAATAATTATCAAGAGCCATACGTTTTATTTGAAAAATACATTAATTCTGTTTTTTTATTTATTCTTATGTAATTTGCTTTTTATTTCTTTAGTATTTTTAGTATTTAACTTTAGTATTTAACATTATTAGCAATAAATATATGCTTGTTATAAAATTTTTAAATTTTGAAGTGTATCAAAGTGCAAATGTAAAATATGATAGGTTTTACGATATGTAAGTGAAGTTTTTCATTGAATTTTTCTACTCCTTGGGAAAGAAACTGAAAAAAATCCGCGGAAAGATTGAAAAAAAAAAACCGGTTTTCTTTCCGCCTTTAAAACTATAATATCTCATAAAATTTATGAATTTTAGGAAAGATTTTTCTACGGCGTGGATGAATCTAGGTATAGTTCAGTCAGCATTGAAAAAATATGAGGAATCAGAAGTGAGCTATTTTATGGCTCTACAACATCGATCAAATTATCCAGATTGTTATTATAATCTCGGTGTATTGGTGAGTATTATATATGATTTTTAACTCATTTTTGAAAATATTATGTTACTGTAATTCGCTATCAAAATTTGTGATAGTATCTGGAACGAAGACAATACGATAAAGCATTGAAAGCTTGGATAAACGCAACTAAACAAAAACCTACGCATAAACGAGCATGGACAAATATGATACTACTATTAGATGATTTAGGTTTGTGCGTTTATTAAAATTAACACTATCTTTCTGTACATTAAGGCTCTTATAGTCATTCATCACTACTATCTTAGATTGTGACGCCAGACGCGAGAAAACACTGAAAACTATATTTTTGTTTGTGGCATAATTATATTTATTTTTATATATTATTAATTTGATAATTGTCAACATAATTTATTTCTAGATGTATATGATTCGTTTTTAGTCATGCATAATTTATTTCCAGATGTATATGATTATTTGTTATTTGTAATGAAGCAAATTATATTTTGCAAAAATAATATACTTTTTATTATATATTTTCTCGCTTTTGACATCACAATCTGAGATGGTAGTGATGAGTGAATAGGAGCTTCAATTATAACGATGTTATAAAAAATATATATTTTAAGTGAAGTCTATAATTTTAGATAAGACAGAAGAAGCATTAAAAATGGCAAATAAAGCTTTGAAATTTATTCCAAATCATGCTTCTATCTATTTTAATATTGCTAACATTTTGGGGAAAAAAGGAAAATACGAGGAAGCAGAAATACAATTTAAACAGGCGATATCGAAAGATCCTACAGCTCCTATGATTTATGCAAACTTAGGTATATCGAGAAATGCATAGAAGTGCATAGAAAAATATTTCATGCCAAGCGAACTATCTTTTTTCATCGTTAAAAGAACACAAGTTGTGACAGACCACAAAAATTTGATATAATACGACTATAATTTATATCATTAGAGAATATTAAAAATATTAAATAGATAATATAAATTATTGTATATTACATTAAATCTCCATGTTTGGTTGTTAATCTATTACATTTCGTCAACTGATTTAGAAATGCAGTAGTTGGTTAAAATTCTCTGTAACTTCGACTTGAAAGAACAAATTCTGAAATTTATGTACATGTTGAGAAAGTTTAAGGAACACATTTTTTGGATTAATGTCTTTTCTTTGGCTTTCTTTGATCAAAATTTAAAAAAATAAACTTTGAGTCTAATAAATTTGCTAACAATTTTGAAAAGAGATAAAAAAAAGAGGTCTATTTGGCATGAAACTCTATATTTATATACATATGTATATTACATATAAATAATTTAAGATAATATGTACATAAAGTCTAAATATTTTATTTAGGTGTTTTATATCATCGTTCGAATAAATTAAATGCAGCAGAGGAAATGTATAAGAAAGCACTACAATTAAAGCCAGATTTATATAGTGCAAAAGACAACTTGCAAAGATTATATACATTAAAGGCATCAATAAAATGACAGATACAAAAACTTTATTCAGATTGTTTAGGTCTTTTCATTACTGACATTAATTCTGGTATACAAGGATAACTGTATGCTTTGAAATTTCCGACTTTTTTACCGTCAACATAATTATAAGATATAAAGCATCTATTGCAGAAATAACTTATGTCATGTGGTATTCTGTCATGTTCTGTTACAATCCAATGTACGTTAAACATTCCACAATAGATACAGTTTTTTCCAGAAATAGGTCTTATTTTTTCTATTCTTGGATAAGCAGATGACACTAATACATCATCTATAGTTAACAACCTGTGATAAAAATAATTGATTTGTTGATAACGAGTATTAAAATTACTACACTGTTCAATAAAAAATATGCTTTGTCGAGCATAAGAACGAGGATAATTGTTTCCAATAATTTTTTGGTTCATTAAACATGATCTCATTTATCAAACTGCTCTATTACAATTTAGAGAAATTTGCAGTAAAAAAATAATTATTTTAATATATTTTGCTATATAACTAATATATTATGTAACTAATAACGAATAAGGAAGGCCAATGCAGAATGCGGCTCATAGCAGAATCTTGGTGCTTCTATTATTTTCTTATGTGATTTTACATACATATCCTAGCTTCGACGAAACTGCGTGCCGTTACTTCCTCTAAATCCTTCCTCTCCCGCGACTTCAAATAAATGCTAGCCTGCATCTATACGAATCATTCTCGACGAATCTGTAAAGAAATTTATTGCGAAAAAATATC